AACCAAGCTCACTGATTGGCGAAGGCCATCTGTTGCTGCCGCTGCCGCTGCCGCCGCCACTACCCAGTACACTGTCGCCCGAATTAGACTGGGTGTTAGGAATTTGCTTGCCGATAGGACGACCATGAGAGGCATTCTCAGGCCAAGAACCGCCGTTATTCCCAAGGTTCTTAGACATGTCATCAAGGCGAGTACCTGAACGACGGAAATAGAACGCGTAATGATAAGGGGCCTAAATAAGGCAGAAACACCTTCAAGAACACGAAGCTCGAAAACTCGGCCTCAAAGACCAAGTACGTTTAGTTTTCGGCGGCCCGTCGACTCGAAATCTCACATCGTGTGCCGCAACGTCCGTCTTAAAGGACGGAGATGTCGTCCAACTGCTTATCTTCAAAAAGGGAGAGATATCTGAAGTCAGTGCGATACCAGCCAGATCAACATACACGTGGGGAAACGTTCTCACACCTGCTATTGTGGGCAGTCAATAGGATTATGTCGTCTCACCTGTTCACACTAACTGGGCGATAAAAGTATGCTTGTCACAACCCACAATGACTATCAGAACACCAAGGCTGAATGACATCCCTTCGTTTCGGGTGCCGACAGCGCAGAAGATATTACCTCGCCTAGAAACCTCTTCGAAGAAACGCTAATTACCGCTTCCCGTATGGGTATTGGAGCATCTGAATCTGGTAATAATAATACTCAACCACTTAACTCCACAATGTCTGTTCTCCTGGCCGACGACAGACCCAAGGTCGTCGACTGTTCGGTCTACATCAGCTTATGTGTTGCTCACGTAACATGGTTCGTCGTCCCGGTGTCAGTTTTCTTGCGTGAAATCCGGAAGCGAAAGACTAAAAGATTACGACCAAAGCCACCTTCCTCGGCGGATATGAAACATCATCTCTGTGCGTTGCCGAATTACAAAAATTTGAGATGATTGACAACTTCTGTTTTCAAAACAAGTAGTTTTCTGAGATCAGTTAACTTAGAGAGCATTTCGAATGGTGTTTTTAACGGTCTAGAATCGTAATTCCAGTGGTTGGAGAGTTTAGTGTGCTCAAACCTTGCACAATTTCTGTCTAGGGTTCGAACGCCACCAAGGCCGTCGAGTTATTCAGTTGGGTCAAACAAATAAAACGCATGTCTCAAGAACGGAAATTCATCACATCGGTGACAACTGCTGGTGATATGAAGAATCGTCGTCTCAGAATGTTCAGTCATGAACGCTCAAAGATCAATGAGCGAAATTTGCCTACGACATTCTCTTCGCGAATACTGAGCTGATGCCACCACGGAGGTGTAAAACTAACGAAGTTGACAATGCGCAAAGCTTACATTCTAAGAAAGTGTCGAATTCGAGTCTTTGGTGTTTTGGACTAGAAAGGGGACTTGAGGGCCTAGAGCCTAGAGCTTACCGGACAATTGAAGGACACGGGTTGCATTTATTTACGAGGATGCGGACATCGGAGTCAGGCAAAACGGTACTATTGATGTAGCACCGGAGGGCGCATCATCCCCGGGTGTGAAAACACATGACTAACCGAGGAGGCTCCCTCTCCGTCGGACAGCACGACAGTAACTTGAGAATGTTCAGATAAGCATTCAGTTGTTCAGTGTTCATCTGAACTGTTATAATTGTCAGGCGGAAAAACAAGCAATGCACCTAATTTAGCCCTGTATAGAATGCGGATCCCCATACTTTTTGTTCAGAATGGGCTACTACCGACATCTCGGCCGTTCACAGCATAGGGTCGGCCACACTGATTCGGAGTGCTGTAAAAGCGAGAGCTGGTCACGCCAGTTTTGGTGATGGCCAATACAAAAAACATGTTACGGATTATTACTATGATTCATGTGACGGGCATAAGCAGCGAAGGGACTGGAGTATGCGGGATACATACATAAGTCGGCACCGGTATCACACGCCAATACAAACGGACGCAGTACGATACCTAGTAGTACGCGCCGTTTATGCACCAAGCATACTTAGCCCCACATTTGTGTAACCTTCTTACCCTCGTAAGGACCGCCTATCCATGGGCGGTTACACCACCATGAGAGGCAGACCCAGTTGGTGCTGCCTTCTAGACCAAGCTAGTAACGAGTTTTCACAAAGAAAACAAAAGGATAGAGCACATTGGAGGCGCAACGTAAAGAGACGTGGCAGCCATAGGAGTGTACCACGCCGGTGACTTGCCACCATTCTCCGTCTGTGCTTACTCTAGTAAACAAAGCAGTGAGAAAGGCAGCCGAAGAGTGCGTAAAGAGGCGAATGCGCTAAATGACCCGAGTCTGATAAATCCAATGAAAACTGCGCCAGTGGCATTCCGGGAGATAAAGGTGAGTTTGAGATATACGTCGAGAGCACTAGTTCAGTAGTCGGAAATGGCGTAACTTTTCAAAATAAACATCATGGCGGAACACAGCTAGTACAGTGATTTGCGCTGAAATTATTCGTCAGTTAAGACACATGAAGCCTAGAATAGTTTTAGCCTCTACATAATAACTAGATTCATTGTGGGGTGACTGTCAGATGTACGTGAGAAAAGATCATAAATAAAGTGGGAATCGCCAAATATCAGCAGTTCTAAGGCTAGTTTCCGAAGCTACATTAAAAAGGGTTTATAATAACATGTAATGGGCAACCAAATAAACATTTCATTAGACAGGAAGGGCGGAATTGACCTACCTGAACCATCTGAAATTGAGATAGGCCAGTTAGCCGGCATTGGTGCGCCACCACCGGGACGGAAACCGCTGGGCATTCCAAGCATGCCGTTTGGTCCGGCAATACCAGTTCTCCCAGCTGCGGACTGAAAGGGTGGTCCAAACCGTCCTTGTGGCTGCTGCTGTTGTAGGTACCCGGGATAACCAAACATTCCCCCTGCTGCAGGACGTTGTCCGGGTGACATAAAACTGGGTGATGCGTTTCCGCCAGTCGACGCGCCGTAACTCGGGAGTATCCCCCCGGGAGAAGCGCTAGAAGGAGGAAGCAATGGGGTGCGTCCGGTGGGTATAATCGGTCCACTGGACGAACTAGGGCCACCACAACCTGGTTGAGTTAAGCGAGAAAGTCCGGGAGAACTTGTGATAGTTGAGGGAGATACGGCAGAGGGTTGCTTCCTACGAGCTGTCCTCTCACCGAGGCTTTCATAGTGTGATTCCCAAATACCTGTACCATTGGGGGGCTCGCTGGGCCAGACGTTCGACTCGAAAGATCCAGCTGAAAGGATCCCAGAAGGTTGTTTTGCGAGACCACCTTTAATCCGACGCTGTTGCTGCAGTGCCACTGAGACCGCATCTCCAAGCAGCCCGGAAACTTGCGACTGCCCAAATGTTGACGCGCTAGCAGAGGCAGTTGTCGCAGAGGATCCGCAAATCGTGCTTTCCTCCGAGGCCAGGATGGACACATCCCATGGCGTGCTTTGGTCAACTGGTCTTTGACCCCAACATTCCTTGGAATTAACAAGGACACTTACGATTTCATCATTCTCACAAGTGCCGTCAGTGTGGTTTGCGGAGTCACTTATGCTTGAGCATGCGGTTGCATTCAAAGCAGAACAATCGCCCGAGAGGCTCCGATTATCAGGCTGTTTACAAACAGTTGCGTTGTCAGTAGATGGTAGAGATGGACCTGTGAGAAAATATTCCATGTGAGGGCGTTGTTAACGAAAACCAAAAAAGTGAAAAATGAGCATGCGGCATGAGTGGCTGGCCTGAACCTAGAAGGTGATTGACTACTACATGAATCGCCGTAACATAGACAATGCATACGAATTCCCACAAACGGGACAAACACAGACCTACACAATTCACGAACTAGTTACTGGTGGGAGCAGCTACCCCATTTTTCAATCCTAAACTTACATCACTTTGAAAGAAAATGGTTCATCAAGTCTGGTGCAAGGACCAAGCGGCAATTCTGTGGTAACAATTTGGCTACAATATAACATACATAGTAACAAACCGCGTGTCTTACTTGGAAAGACATTAAATTCTCCGTCAACTGGCGAACCCCAGCTAGGAAAATTATGGCAGTCACCCTGTTCGCTTGTGCGGGACGAGGTCTTGCGTTTGTTGCTGACACCAGGCAAATGCTGACCCTGGACACCGTTTCCCTCCCCAGGCTCGAAAGATTGGGTGGCGTCAGCGGTTGGCCCACTATTTCCCGGCTGCTGACCGATAATTGCACGTGGGATGTCAGAATTTGGTTGCTGTGCTGTATCTAGTGATGGCCAGGCCGAATTTTGGGTGCGTTCATCGGAACACCCAAGCGCCGAACGCAGGGCTAGAGTGGCACCAGCAGGGGCTGCGTTCCACTGCAAGATAAGAAATGTCAGTGAATATAAGGTGTGTTAACAACAGGTGAAAGGCCAAACACAATTAAGCAAAAATTGAGAGCACAGCGAATAAAAACTGGCGGCAACTACCACTAAGTGCACCTCCCGTTGTCCCAACAATCGACCTAAACTAGTAGACGTTTACGCTGGCTGAGCACGGAAGGCTTAGTATTCCTGCTAGCATAATTACAAGGGTATCTCTAAATTGTTAATTGGCCGAATGAGAAGTTTGCACTAGTAAGATAAAAAGAAACTTACGGAAAAGTCATCCGCATCATGGCGAGGCCCTCCGGCAACCTCAGCAGGTGTTGGCCACAACGCTTCATTGTCGAGCTTCCGAGAGGAACAATCAGTCAAATTTGACCACACGTCCTCTAATGAACCCGAATCCCCAGAAAATCTGCTCGAACTGACTATTTTATTGTTCCCGCCCCAAGGAGAGGAACTATCAAGGTTGGAAGAAGTCCCAGTCAAGTTGGGCTTTCCTAAAAGGTAAGGTAAAGGGTAATTTTGTAAAGAACGAGCGAAAAGGTTAATGGGAGACTTTGCAATCAAACGTACCTGGAGTTCTATTCCATGCGTGCATTGCTGAGTTACATTCTCCCGCATCGCCACCAGCGTGAGACATTTGCCCAAGAAATTAGTCAAAGGTTTTCATTTGAAATAAAACGAGCGTGACGAAAACTAAAAACGCAGATTTAAAACGTAAGAAAAACGTATGTTAAACCAAAAGCATCAGAATAAACGCAAACCCACCTGCAGCGCAACTAAGAGGCAACAATGGCCGCCCTCAGAACGTTTAACTATGGCGCCGTCGAGATTAAGAAATGTAAGTTCAACTCACTATTAATACGCCAATTTTAAAGTGTGTCTATAACCATTTTCGTCTAAAATCCATACATTACTGAGTATTTGGTCGTTTCTGCTAACAGTTTTGTCAGCAAAGGCCAAACATCTGCATATTCAATTAAATGCGCGATTCGTTGACGTCATGCAACAAACTGTGAAACGACATGCATTATACTGGTATATTTTATAGCTTCGAAAAATCGCAATAGTGGGGGGCTTAATATGAAACAATAGAGGAATCTGGTGCAAGTGTGGAGAAAAACAGCATCATGGAAAAGCGTACTTTAAAAAGCAAACGAAAACAAATCTGATGCTGACAGCAGCGAAAGGAACAAATAAAGGTCCGAACACCTGACAATGACTTGAAAATAAGGCCTCGAAATTATGCTTTTTTTCGGAAACCAGAAATAGGAATATTTCGCGTTAGAATGCTCGGATACTAATATGCATTCATGACCTATAGAACTGACAACTCAGCCCTTTGGGAAGAAAGCATACCAAAAACTGGAAAGTAGAAACTGAAATAAGCAAAAGAAAATAGTCGCGGAGACAAACATAAACATAAGCAAGTTAAAAAACCAGATACGAGGCGAAGAAGAACAATTGGATGAGGGTGAATAAAAACACAGACCAAAACAAAATTAATGATTCACAACATTTCCCATATGTCAACGCGTGGGACTTTGGAAATTGCCAACCATTAACCAATGCTTATAGACTTCTGCAATGATATCAAAGAAAACTCGGTCTCGTCCGGCAACCATTACGAAGTCCTACCGAGAAAGGCTTTCCTGCCTTCCCTGCAGTGCCTAATCTGTCAGCCCTTCAATACTGCCAACAGGAGATATCCGAATTTTCATTCCGTGACGTTATTGATTTTGAAAATGCTCAATCCAGTTTATTGAGGGAAATAGGCGTAAGCCTTTGAGTACCCTATTTGCAACGTAAAAAATGTTTCGTATACGGATAAATGTTCTGGGTTTAAATAGTTCAAACACGCCCATAATTGTAGGACAAAAAGAGAACGAGTTACAGGGAGTGAGCTCTACTTCTCATCGCTATTGGTCATTTCGGAAAATAATTATGTCCAGATTCACATCAATAGTATTGAAAATGCGATTCCCAGGTGGCATATCAAAAGAAGAGTGGGCGTTCACCGTCCCAGTGAACACCCCCTCTTCTTTTGATACGTCCAGATTTTTTTTTAAAACTTTGTATAGATGGTGACATCACAACATCTGCGGGAAGCGCATTCCAGGGTTTGACCATTCGAATAGAGAAGGAGAACTTTCGAACATCCAGCCTTGCCTGCTGAGTGGGCAGTATTAACGGGTGACCTCGGGGGTTGGTCGTGGTAGCAAATTCAAAAAAGTCCTTGAAGGCCAGCCTGCAATCCACCCCCTTTGCAATGCGGAAGGCTTGCAAGAGATCCCCGCGAAGTCGCCCGTAACTCAAAGGAAAGACGTTCAGATTTACTAGGCGGGTTACATAGGGAAAGGAGCTTTGACCCTTAACCATCTTCGTGGCTCTCCTCTGAACTCTTTCGAGGCTGTTTTGATCCTCAACCGCCCACGGCCTCCAGGCTTGTATGCCGTGCTCCAAATGCGACCGGACGAATGTTCCGAATGTCTCTGAGAAAGCATCTTTGTCAAAGTCCGTAAACGCACGCTTGATTGCGTACAGTACGGACATTGCGCTTTTTGCCACTGTCGAACAATGGGCGGATGGCTTTAGGGAACTCGTCGTTAGCACACCGATGTCCCTTTGGGCTTAGACCTCTTGTAGGGCTGCACCGCCATGAAAGTAGTCTCTTGTGCTGGCGGATCTGGCTGTGTTGCCTAGGCGAAGTATGCTACATTTGGCAACGTTGAACCGCAGGAGCCAACGGTTTGACCCCTCCTCCAACCGATTCAGGTTCATCTGCAGTCTGTCTTCGTCGGCAGGACCCCGAAGTACAGCCCATATTTTCATGTCATCGGCAAACATTGCTACCTCGCAGTCTAAATCTCTTGCGGCATCGTCCACGTAGATAAGGAACAAAATGGGTCCCAGCACTGAACCCTGGGGGACACCACTCTCGACCATAGCAGGATCTTATTTTCCTCGACCGATGCACACAACATGGTGTCGGCCTAAAAGGAAGTTTTCGATCCATTTAAGGAAGTTGCCATTGATCCCTATTTTTAGTTTATGTAAGAGCCTTTGGTGTGGCACAGTGTCGACTGCCTTCTGGAAGTCGATGAGAGCTATGTGGACCGCGTGCTTGTCGTCGAGAGCTCGGGTTCAGCTCTGGAGAGATTGCAGCATGTCTGTCGTGCAGGATCTTTCTTTTCGGAACCCAAGTTGGCATTTCGATAGCAGGCTAGGAACTCCCAGGAAGTGCATCAGTTCACTCTTTATGATCCTTTCCATAACTTTGCAGAGAATGCATGTCAAGCTTATGGGCCTGTAATTTGTCGTCGCTGCCCTGTTACCTCCAGTTTGCCCTGCGCCAACTTCCAATCGAAAGGAAGTGTTCCTGTGTCAAATGACGTTTGAAAGAGCATCGACAAAGGCACAGAAAGTTCACTGGCAAGTTCCTTGAGAAGGTTGCAAGGAATCTCGTCTGGTTTTGGCGACCTCGATTCGTTCAATGCCTCTAATTCTCTTCGGACAATGCCTTCAGAGAAGAGTGTATCACTGACGCGTGGGGTCGGCAGTTCCTCTGTGGAGGGAGGAAGGAACCTTGCCTCGTTTGTGTAGACTAATTGGAAAAACCGTGAAAAATACGCAGCTTTATCCCTACTATCAGCAATCTCAACGCCATTAGTAGTCCTTATTAAGGGGATTTGATGCCTGTTCCTTCTACTTCGTCGGAGGTTACTGTAGAGTAATTTTGGGTTCTTCGTTGATTTTTGTAGTAAGTTCTCGAATTTCCGCCGCGTCTTCATGATCCGGTTCCTCAGTTTGTTCCTCTGTGTCTTGTAGGTGTTGAAGCATTCAGCTTGTCTAGTGACGCAGTATTTTCTCCACAATTTGTGCTTCCTGTTGATTCCTTTCTTAAGGTTGCTATTTAGCCACACAGGACGTTTGTTCAGTCTTACACTAGTCAGTGGGCAGTGGTTGTTGATGAGCTGCAGAGGACATTCTTGAACCGCTCCCAGTCATCGTTGGCATTTCCCGTAAACAATGAGCCCCAGTGGAGACCAGATAAGTCTGCCCTCATCTGATTGAAGTCGCCCCGCCAAACATTCCGTCTTTTGTGGTCTGGAGTATGTGAAATGGAGAATAACGAATAATCCCACATAAGCACTTCGTGATCACTTCGGCCACTGCTAAAACCTCTGGAGACAGCTCGGCAAGGCAAAGTTTTAGATCATCTAATTTCCATATGAGGCTTTGGGCATCCGTGTACAAGCACCTCAGTTTTGCACCAGCCGAGTTTCCCGTTGCATTTGTTACTGTTTTGAGCATTACTCCGTTATTGTTATAACCCATCTGGTACATGAAATCCCGTGGAGCGTATACGCACTCGACTCTCGTCCCCAATACCGAAGCAGCAGACAAAGAAAACACGGCTGACCACGGAACGTGTATTAGCAAAACACTGCAAGTCGCGACTAGATAAAGGTGACGCATATTTATAACACCCTACTGTAGTTCGCCGGCATTCGGCCCAATGACCTTCGGGAAGAGGGGAGTAACTAATGGAAAGGCGCCTGATTGAGATGACAGTGCTGTAGAGAGAGCAAACGCACGTGCTCTCCAGTGATTGGTTGGCTCTTGTTTTTGGGAATGTAGGCACTCCCGACACCTCCCCTCCAAGGAGATCAGTACCGCTTTTGGCGTGGATTGATCTGCATCGGCAGTGTTGATCGGCGCACACGGTTGGTTCGGCGTCTTAGTCGTGTTTTGTTGTCTGGAGACCTGGGGGCAGTGACTGATACCGAAGGCGGTACATCCGAAGGAGGCGCAGCAGTGGGTTCGGGAACCGACTGATCTGCCGGAATGACGAAGGTATCCAGTAGTATGTCAAGAGAGAGTGACGGCACCAACTCGGACCTGGTTGTATTACTGCAATGTCGTCGTCGGATCTGGTTGTGGTGACGAACCCAGATGTCATCACCAACGTCGACATCAAACAACATACTCCCTCTGTGCGCTATTATGGTTGCCTCAATTCAGTCTGGGAACCCATTTCGATAATCACGAACGAAGACAGGTGTTCCGACGGAAAGCTTGCTGCGAGAGACTGGAGAAGTCTGCACGGGTTGCACACAGGTAGGAACGAGTGCATGAAACGTTGTACGCAGTTTTTGGCCCATCAAAGCTTCGGCAGGAGAATCGCCACCAGGGGACGCCGGGTTCGGTGTTGTCCTGTAGTAAAACAGGAACACCTGAACTATCTTGTCCGTGATCCCCTCCCCACGAGCTTTCAAGAGGGCTCTCTTAAACGTGTCGACAAAACGCTCCACCTGACCGTTAGACTGAGGATGGTAAGGCGGCGAGCGAAGATGCTGGATGTTGTACTGGCGGCAGAAACCCTCAAATGTCGACGAAGTAAACTGAGAGCCACTGTCTGAAATCAGGACTTCCGGTAAGCCATGTTGGCTAAAGATGCGTCGCAGGGAGGCGACAGCGGCAGATGCGGTCGTTGGATTCATCGGCGCAATCTCGGGCCACTTCGAGTAGGCGTCAACCAAGATTAGGTAGGAGACTCCGTTAAGTGGGCCAGCGAAGTCGATATGCACGCGTGACCAAGACCTCCCCGGTGGTTGCCAGGGTACTGGCGGTTGATGGGGCGGCATCTTGGCAGCTTGCTGACATCGAGAACAGCGTCGAACCAGGTCGTCGATGTCGCCGTCGATACCCGGCCAGTAAGCAAAACTGCGAGCAATAGACTTCATTCGGCTGGTACCAGGATGAGCAGCATGGAACTGGCGTAGTACAGTTGGTCGGAGGCAAGATGGGATCACCACACGGTTCGCAAACATAAGGCAGGAGTCAACCGCAGATAGTGATGTTCGGTGGAGGAAGAGCTGGCGAAGATCACCAGCGAGAGCAGTGGTTGGCCAGCAGGTCTGCGCGTAGGTGATGGCCTGACGGAGGACAGGATCCCGTTCAGTAACATGTCGGGAAAAGTATGTGATATGACAGCACCAACTCCGTGGTTGAAAGCATCTGCAACAACAACGATCGGCAGCGTCGGGTCGTAGTGTGTGAGCAGCAAATCTGAACTCAGCATCGACTTTAGATGGGCGAAGGCCTTTTTACAGTCGGGGGACCAGCACCAGGGAGCATCCTTCTGCGACAGACGGTTGAGCGGGGCCCTACGTCACGCAGCAACGGTAGGAAGGCGCTAAGGTAGCTGATCAGGCCAAGGAAAGAACGAAGTTGCGACACATTCTTGGGGGCAGGCATCCGTTGGGTGGCCCGAATGTTTTCAGGATCTGGATGACGACCAGTGACGTCAAAAACAAACCCCAGGTACTTGATGGAGTCGAGGAAGAATTGCCACTTGTCGGCCCATAGGCGAAAGCCATATTCCTGTACGCGTTCGAGTACTGCGCACACTCGGTCTTGCAGCTCGGCAGGGGAGCAACCCACGATGATGATGTCGTCCAGGTACCCAGCTGTGCCAGGGATGCCGGAGAGCATTGCGTTCATCGTTTGTTGGAATAGAGTCGGGGCGGTCTTGACATCAAAGGGCAGTCCGGTATATTGGGGCAGACCGCGGTGGGTGTTGATGGTCAACAATTCGCGCGACTCTGGGGCGACCTCGATCTGCAGATACGCATCGGCGAAATCCAACTTGGAAAAGCAAGTGTCACCATTTGGCAGGGTGAAAAGATCAGCTGGAACCGGCAATGGATTGCACTTCGGCGTCAACACGGCATTGAGACCGGTGGAGATGTCAGCACTAATGAGGATCGAGCCATTGGGCTTCTTAACCACAACGATTGGAGCAGTCCAGACGGAGAAGGATACAGGAACTAAAACTCCCAGTTCCTCTAGACGCTTCAGTTCAGCCTCGACAAGCGGTAGAGCTGCATATGGGACTGGTCGCTTTGGACGGAAGACTAGTTGACTTCCAGGAGACAGACGTAGCACGGCCTGAGTGTATGTGCAACGACCCAAGCCGTCTTGAACACTGGAGGAAACCTTTGGAGAATGTCCTTGGCTTGGTTTGGAAGCACAGCGGAAATCTGCACCTGACTGCAAACTACGCGGAGCGGCATATCGGCCAACCCAAGTTGTTCAATCCAGTCGAGACCACGTAGGTTGAAGTCAGACTTGGTGGTATAGCGGATCGCAGTGATGCTGGTACCACGGAACGACACAGAGCATTGCAGCTGTCCAATTAGCTGTACGAGACCGCCTCATGCGCTTGTGGTGGACTGGGAAGTCTGCTGCATCGTGGGGCTGCCGAGGGACTGCCAGAGTCTCTCAGAGATGATGGGGATATCTGAGGCAGTGTCCAACTGTAGGCGAACTGCATGACCATTGAGCAAAACGTAAACAAACTTTCTACGACCAGACGCGTTGAGCAGGAAAGCAGCCAAGAGACTGAGAGAATTACCAACGGACTGGGGTTTGGACTTGCGTTTTGGTCGGAAACGGTGCCTGGAATTAGGAGTGGCGGGGGCTGGCTTGCCTTCAGAAGCGGGTACTGATTTGCAGAACCCATCACGGTGTCCCACGTGATTACAGCTTTGGCAGCGATGCTGGCGGAAAGTGCAATCCCGGTGGAAATGCCACGCGCCACAGTGTTGACAAGGAGATGGCAGAGATCTCGCCATGGACACTTGTTTGGGTCGTGTAACAGGATGCGACTTGGTCGATGTGACCGTATGGACTAAGAAAGATGAGGCACGGTTTTGAATCATTTCAGAGTCGTGCTTGAGGTAGATCAGCGTTTGGCACTCTGCTGCCAGCTCTTGGAGTGTGATTAAGTTGTTCTGCTGCACTTTGGACAGGAGACGTGTCCGGATATTAGCATCCTTGGGGACTGGGGGCCGCAGATAAATGTAAGGCATCTATACTGGTCTTCAATGAGAGAACCGAGTTGGAAACGCCCACACTCACGATTGACAATGCCCGCATACGTGATGAAATCATCGAAATGTCGTTTGCACAGTTGCAAGCACTGAAATCGAGTGTTGAAAAGGGATGATTGCTCACCAAAAATCTGCGACGGCGTCTGAAGCGTGTCCTTGAAAGTGACTTCTCAGGGATTCTTGGGGAGGATAAAGTTGGCATAGCGCTCGTGTTCAGCCGGACCTAGTTTGCGAAGTAGGAGTCGAACCTTCCATGCATCGTCCTGGGCAGCCAGATCGACAGACAACAAGTCCTCTTATCGTTTGTACCAAGACTCAAAGGTGATATGGGCCTGTGGGTCATATAAGAATTCAGTGATGCTGCCGGCAATGTGATCAACAGATTTAGAACCATCAGCCGCGCTTGATTGACCTACGGACGAGTTGGACAGCTTAACAATGAGTGCCTCCATCAGCTTCAGCTGCTGCTGCAACATCTGCTTCAAGTCCGCATACTCGTTAGCCATTGCAGCTGAAGAACTGCGTCGCCAATTTGTTATGACCCGCCTGATATGTGAACTCCCGTGGAGCATATACGCACTCGACTCTGGTCCCCAATACCAAAGCAGCAGACAAAGAAAACACGGCTGGCCACGGAACGTGTATTAGCAAAACACTGCAAGTCGCGACTAGATAAAGGTGACGCATATTTATAACACCCTACTGTGGTTCGCCGGCATTCGGCCCAATGACCTTCGGGAAGAGGGGAGTAACTAATGGAAAGGCGCCTTATTGAGATGACAGTGCTGTAGAGAGAGCAAACGCACGTGCTCTCCAGTGATTGGTTGGCTCTTGTTTTTGGGAGTGTAGGCACTCCCAACATTTATCTCGGATGCCATTTTGTCTGGGCTCTTCCGTTACTTGATGGGTTCCATTAATATCCGTTGCTTTAGTCAGATCACTGGACGTTACTCGCTTGCTTGTGTTGCCGCCTTGAGCAGGTGGTTCAACGAAGGTGTCTGTGTTAGCTGAGTAGCTACCGTCGTTCTTAGTATTACAGGCTGTTTCCACTGAAACGGCATATATTTCCGAGCTACTTTCCCCTTGAATATAGCCAGATTGTGTTCGCCACCCTTCAGTCTTGATTTTAACTCCAAGACAAGTTCCCGGCGTTTCAGCCGTTCTGTTGGTGAATAGTCCGGTTGAAAAAAACTGTTTTTGTGTGTTTTTGAGGTCGGTATTTTTTGAGACGATCAACTTGATTTGCTCTTTGTTCTCCAGCACAATTTTGAGAGGGCGAGGTGGTTGTGCTGCTGTCCTGTCTTCACTTCTTTTTCCTATCCGGAATGCTTTCAGAACCTTTATTTCCATGTTTGCCTGGAGTAACTGATTTAGTAGACCATAAAATGAAGCAAGGTCCTCCGAGACACGGTCTTCAGGCCTGACTGCATTCGATTCCGACAAACTCTGAATAACCAGACACTGCTGGCGATCATGGTCTTCCTTACTTTGTCTTTCCGGTGAATTTGCTGCATGTGAGCGAGGACGATTTACGGAATCGTCGCTTGGACGCACACTTTTGCGGTCTACCGTCTGTCCCAAGCAACCCATCAGGTTTGTTTGTGACTTCAGACTCCTGTCATGGCGTTTCCCTCTCCCCTCCATCCACAGGTTCATGTCTTCGCATTCAGATACGTGCTCTGTAGTGCGCTCGGGGTGATTGCGAGAACAAGATTGCAAGAGTAGACTGGATGACCCAGGTATATCATCTCCAGGCAAAAGAGAAATGCCGTCACTTACAGCAAGAGGCTTAGGCAAGATGGTTTCCGCGCCAGGTAATTTTTTTGTGACATCGCTTAAGACATCTTGCGTGGGAATTGAGTCTCCCTTTATCGGCGGCTTCGTTTTCATTGTCCTGATGTTACCGGCGTCTGCGGTTTTGGCTATTGAGTTGCAACTCGTGTTTAAGATGCCCCCGAGGAGATATTTTTTCGCGTTTTTTGCGTTTTGCTCTTCGTTTTTGGGACGCTAACACTGGACACGTTCTGGTCGTCTAGGGTCTGTTTCACGAGCGTCCTTAAATCAGCAAGCTCCTTTTCGAGTTGTTCTGCTTTGGTTTGGATATCTGCGCACCCAACACATGGCTCGTCTTCGTACCTCACATTTTTGCGGTAGTTACGATTATTGTAGGCTTTGCTGGTCGTTAGCTGGAAGCGCAGGTAGAGCGAACACAGGTTCTGGATGCGAAGGACATCTCACCAGACTTGTCTTCCAACGAGGTGCCGTCGCTGGCCGTACTATTACAGTTAGCTTGCTGAGGCTCCATAAACTTCGACATGATGTAATAGGTATGATTTCGCTTTCGATGTTATAACGAATACGTCGGCTTGTATATGACGAATTAAAGTGAGTATTCAAAACTGAATAAGCGAAAAAATACTTAAAATCCGATGAATTTTGCGGAATTTAATCAGAAGCGACTTAGCCCTTTGCAGATCTCATGGGACTTGAATAACTGCAGACCTTGAAGGATTTTGAGAAATTGGTTTTCTAGGCTGTTTAGCCGCGATTCGGTTGCGTAGTCAGATGCATAGTCAGTTGGATCGTGCTGATAAACAAACTGCACTTAATCCAGATTCCTGGCGAATTTCGATGCGTGAAAAAATATTCCACAGATGCACAAAGCAATTCTGTACGTACGGTTCCAGTATCAATGTCAGAGACGGTAACTGTGAAATGGTAACTAACTCGAAATAGTTTCAGTTTGAGCGCAGAATAATTCCGCTGTGCTCAGTCGGGTGTGCCCAACAGCAAGCGAGAAATTCGTCCACTATTTTCAGAACCCCTAGTATGCTAAACACAATCTTTGCACTCCCACTCCGGTTCAGAGAGGTCTGCGTTCAGATCACGCTAAAACTCTGCCAAAATACCTATGAACTCGAATGTTGATTCACCGGACAGACAATGTATGGATATATCTGCTCTTCTAACGTCATCTTTATATCCTAAAGCACTTGGACGGGGCACTAAGCCCGTATGTAAATTTTCGACTGAGGCAAATGACACTCACGCAAGGTCAAGCCGCTGGTTTTAAATTTGAAGATAAGTGGAGGATATTATTTTAAGTGGTTTTTCTGTGAGACCTAACGATTTTAGTACCTGTTTTTGGTTGAATTTCCTTAAATACAGGCCTCTTCTCTCAGAACTGCCTGCTGCCATCTCCTTTTGAGTTCTGATAGTCTATGCCCGTTGTTCACTAATCGCACTCTGCAATTCTCATTTTGCGCATCCGATTTCTCTCTAACTGTTGTAATTTATTTTTATATCGTTAGCCCCTAGCTGAAATTCAGTCAACTTGTCTGCCAGAAGTTTTCTTAATCACAAATTGCCTCGAGACAAGATGAGACCAAAAGTCACTGGTCGACGTTAGCTCTCGGCTCTTGTAAGTAAACATGGCCTAACTAAACGTAAGTCAGAAGCTTTACCTAAATCTAAGTCAGATGATATTACTAGTCAGACGTCACCCGTTGTAATTGGTCGGCAGCTTAATCTGTCTGCACTTGACCACTGCAACGACTTTATGCTAAAGTTTGGCTCTTTGCTGACAATTCTTGGACATTTATTCGACGGGAACATCTCCGATATTCCCTCTGAAGAATGTAGGCGTCTCGACTCACTTGTTCACCTGATCGCCAGTGAATCTAGTGATAGACAGAAGCGTTCTTACAACTTCCTGCTAAAAAGTGTTCCTCGATCTGCTCGGCCAATTGATGTTGCGACCAATTTCCTGTATTCATGTGGTTTCAACTATAAAATAGCTGATGCCAAACGCTTGTCCTTCCGTAGTACAAATCCACCCATCTTAGTCAAATTGTTTTCATCAATCGAGGTTGACACAATCTTTACTCATCGAGAGCGTGTCACTGCGTACATAGAGAAGGCAAAATTTTTCCTTTGTCATGGTCTTACTCCTATGGAGCGTAGAATCGGGTCTCTATTCTCACGTAAACCTACTGCTTCTCAGTCTACTGCTCCCCGACTCGGTCATAATACAAGTGGCCGTAAGGATTCAGCTTCTCCTACTCCTGCGACATCTGACTCCCTCCTTCCTCTTTCTCCTACATCTCCATCTCACTCAAGCCACTTGACGCATTTGCCTGCCCCTAAACTTGCAGCAGCAGCAGCAGCAGCAACAGCAGCAGCAGCAACCCCATTTGTCGTTTCGTATCCTCCGGATAGTCCCGCTGAGACACATGAAAATCCGTCTACATCAGCTAGACCGATAACTTCTATTGTCCAACTGGGTGCTGTAAGGTCTACAGCTAAGTCACCCATGGCTTGGCGTCAGAACGGTGAGACTCGAAAATTGAATCAGACTCCGACCCAAAAGATAGGTAGCACAGTTCCGTTTAGGGATACGACGCCTTCTCTTAGATCTAACAAGTCTGTTCAGCCCAGCACGTCTACAAACCCCGCAACTCCAATTATATCCCCGAATAATTCTCTGTCCTGCGTACCGGTTACTTATCAAAGCCTTATTTGTATATTGTATATATGTATATTGTATATTGAAGGGTTACAGCAGAGCCCTTGATGACCCTATTTATGTACAGTGCTTTCGCAGATTCATACTCAAAAATAAAATTGAATTGCAGGCATTTACAATGTGATTGGGTCAGAGTTCAATCGTAATCATAACGTAGTGCACTGTAAATTAGTGCGGAAGATTGTATATGACAGAGTTTACAAAACTGGCTGTGCATAGTCATGCTGTACAAGCCGATTTCTGTCGAGAACTAGATGAGCAAGTTTTCTTTTAAACACACAAACTGTGTCAGCCGTCACCATCTCGCTTGGAAGCGAGTTCCACGGCCTGACAACCCGCTGGCTGAATGAAAATTTTCGTCGGTCTAAACGCGTGCGCTCATTCCCGACTTTGTATGCATGGCAGCGTAGTTGGTTTGTACTGGCGAACTCAAATAAGTCCTCTGCTCTTAATGAGCAACCTTGGCCGCGAACAATCCGGAACGTCCAGATTAGACTGCAGTTTATTTGTCTATAAGAGAGAGGGAATAGGCCAAGCAAATTCAGCCTCTCCTTATAAGACAAATGCTTTAGACCGTCGACCATCTTTGTCGCTCTGAGTTGCACCTGTTCGAGTAAGTTGATATCCTTCCTCATCCATGGTGAAGCTGCTGGCATTCCATACTCCAGATGAGGTCTTACAAAGACACCAAAGAGTCTTTCGAAGAGTTCGGGAGGAAATATTTTAAATGCACGTCTGAT